ACCCTTCTTCAGAAAAAATGAAGAAGGGTCTAGACCCGAAACATCAGCTTTCCTGCTCCTCTGATGCTGCTTGGCCTGCTGTGTTCATCCAGCTCTACACCTTATACATTGAAGGTGTTGGGCAGTGGGTCTGGGTGGGATGTCCTTCAGAGAGTCAGTGCAGACTCAATGGGCCAAAAGGCCTCTTTCTGCACTGTAGGAATTCTATGATTTTTGTGAGGTTATGGTTTCATCAGGTTTATTGGAATCATTAAAACATACTGTACAGAAAGTTGACATTTGGCCCATTGTATCTATGCTAGTTTTCTGAAAGATCAGTTGATCCTTGTGCACTTCCATTGTGTTCAGTTCTTAAGTAAACATTGAGGGAAGAAAGGGCCCTGCTAGGATTCTCTGGCGAGTGAAAAAAAGTCTTTAAATGTATTTCACTTGTAAGATTTATTTTCAGGAGAGGAAGATATTAGCCAGATCTCTGCTGATGATTGCTGCTTTGCTTTGATAGTTCAGTCAGTCCAATGATTTAGTTTTTCCCCAAATCTGAAATTCCCATGGAAGATTGTGGTGATTTTGGAGGCCTGCTTATTGACATGGAAGACAGAGTCCAACTAGGCACAAAACCTGAAAACTTACCTCAACCTTTTGGGTTGATCAAGCCTGGACCAAACATTTCAGTTTAGCTGCTTGATCTGAAGTACATTTTTCATAGTAACTGGGCCAAAACTGGACATAAGAAGTGTTTGGAGGAAGGATCTCAATACGTTTATTGTCAATTAAATTGCAATTAAAACACTGTATTGTTGGTTACATTATCTGTGAACAGTTCTGATCCTCTTATCTAAGGAATGGTACACTGGCATTGTGGGCAGGCCAGAGAAGGTTTACTTGCTTGAGAGTGGGCATAGAGGGACTGTCTTATGAGGAGAAGTTGAGTAGGTTGGGCCTGTACTCATTGGAGTTTAGAAGGTTAAGAGGCGACCTTATTGAAACAGACAAGATTCTTGGGTACTCTACAGGGAAAAGGCAGAGAGGTTGTTTCCCCTTATGGGATAGTCCAGGAAGACAAGGCAGATTCTCAGAGTAAGGGATCACCCATTTAAAACAGAGAAGAGGAGGAATATCTTCCCCAACAGTGTACTAAATCTACGGAACTCTTACCCCAGCATGCTGTTGAGGCTCAGTTGTCAAGTATATTCAAGGCTGAGATAGATTTTCCATCAGTAAGGGAATTGAGGGTTATGGGGAAGAGGCAGGAAAGTGGAGTTGAGGATTATTAGATAAGCCGTAATCTCCTTGAGTGGCAGAGAAGACGCATTGAGCTGATTGGCCTGCTTGTCTTAAGATGCTTTATGTCAAAATTTACACCGAGAGTTTGTTTATAAATTACCTATTTATTTGCTAGATGTTTTGCAGATTATTTGCAGTAAATTAGCTCAACTACCTGTTTAATGTATTGAGGGTGACAGTCTTTTTCAGTGAGCCAGTAACTGTATAATCCTAAAATCCACAACTGGAAAACAGTTAAAGCATATTAACTTATAGTATTGCTCTAAATCTCTAGTGACCCACCATCCATGGATACTGAACTATTATTAAAAAAGACAAGTGCTTCTCTCCAGCTTGCCCAAGCTAGCCTCTTGCTGCAAAATACTGCCTGGAGTGAACATAGAGAATATTAAATTATCAGTACGCCTGTTGCATTATGAGATGTGCCAGAAGACACAGTGGTCTGATTCAGCTATGGCCCCACATCCCTGATTCCCCAGTTACTGCTTGATGGCTCGATTGAGCTGTATGTCACAATATGCAATGTGTACTAATATTAATCTCAGATGTCTGTCAGTGTAAGAAAGCTGAACAAAGAATCCATTCATCTCTCCAATCTGAATTCATCAAAATGTACTTTTCATTTTTCGTAAATGTTGAAGTTTTTTGTTTTGGTTGTCTGACTGTTTTTGCTGATGTTTAATTTGTGCAAAATAGAAATCATCAGGAATTGAAGGTTTATCTAATCCACTCATTTGATTGGGTATGGAATAAATCAGACTTGGGAGTGCACAGAGCTTGTAACCTCCTGCATTTGTTCTCATTTCCAGGACAATCATAAATTCAGGACTACGGTTGATTGCTCCACGAGCTTTTGCCAAAAATCCTCACCTTCACTACATGTAAGTCATCCCAAGCTTAGTCTGGGTTTATAGAGGGTTAGGAGTTGAGTGGTTAAATTCAGATGCTGAGGTAATAAAGATTATGTTTTTTTTTCCTACAATCCATTGCTCGAGAGACCTGAAACATCAATGATCCACAAGCCTATTTCTTTTTCTCATTAAATAAACGTCCTTATGATGCACAGGAGTTTGAACAAGCCCAGAACGATTTGTGAAATAAAGACCTTGGAAGATCTGCAGAGCTTTTTTTAACAATAACAAAAAAAACCGCGCAAGATAATGGAGTGTTGATTATTTCAGTCTAAATTTCAAAAGCCAAATGTTGATACATGTTATTGTGAAGAAATAGGAGATAATCGGATAGCGAGGAGGAGGGACGATGACGTGAATTTTCACCTCAGATGGACTTGCAATGAAACATTATCATGAGATTAGAACCAACTGTCTTTTAAGGGATGTGACAGTTACTTGCATGAATAGATGTGACGCGTTATTAGGCTGATTTTATTTTCTAGTATCATGCTTACAATAAGGTGAGGACAATTCAAAGAAGTGGAATATTCTTTTTTTTCTCTTTTAATTGCAGCTTTCATGTCCAGAATCATGTGAAAGATTCCAGATCTCTTTGTCTCTAACTATACCAATGACTGTTGTTTCCCCTTGACAAGTCATTCTGTTCACATCTCCTGATAATGGTGAAGAAGTGCTCCTCTGCTTTCTTCTTGTGGTAGCTAGATAGTGCAGCATGTGAATGGAAAACATGTCTATCACTGGAGGACTTCACACTTTCTGTGGGCACAGTGGTTATCTTAGAATGTGGTTGCCTATGTCACCTAGAAAAGACAGACAAGGAAGGAGATTAGTTCTTATTCAGACATTCTGTGCCTTTAGAAAACCATTTACTTACTGCATAAAGCACAATTACTATGTTATATATGGGGGTAAGCTAGGATTTGGTAGAGTCCCTGAACAAGGGCAGGCAAAGACAATGTCAGGGTTTGTTGGATTTAGGAAAACGGACTGGAAAAGGAGTACAATGTCTGTAAAATGTGAGGTCATCCATTTTGGTTGGAATAACAGCAAAGTGGACAATTATTTAAATCGTGAAATGTTGCTGTATGCTGCTGTGCAGAGAGATCTGGGTGTCCTTGTGCACGAATCACAAAACATTGGTTTGCAGATGCAGCAGGTAATTAACAAATGGAATACTGTCCTTCATTGCTAGAGAGATGGAATTTAAAGACAGGGAGGTTATGCTGCAGCAGTATAGGTTGCTGCTGAGGCCACACCTGGAGTATTGTGTACAATTTTTGTCTCCTTACTTGAGAAAGGATGTGCTAACATTGGAGGGGATGCAGAGGAGGTTCACTCGGTTGATTCTGGAATTGAAAGGGTTGGCTGATGAGGAAAGATTGAGTAGACTGGGATTATATTCATTGGAATTTAGACAAATGAGGGGGGATCTTATAGAAACATGTAAAATTATGAAGGAAATGGATAAGATAGAAGAAGGGAGGTTGTTTCCACTGGTGGGTGAAACTCGAACAAGATGGCATAGCCTCAAATTAAGGGGGAGCAGATTTAGGACTGAGCTGAGGAGGAACTTCTTCACCCAAAGGGTTGTGGATCTGTGGAATTCTCTGCCCAGTGAAGTAGTTGAGGCTACCTTGTTGATTATTTTTAAGACAAAAATAATTAGATGTTTGAACAGTAAAGGAATTAAGAAATTATGATGAGCAGGCAGGTAATTGGAGCTGAGTCCACAGAAAGATCAGCCATGATGTTATTGAATGGAAGAGCAGGCTCAATGGGCCAGATGGCCTACACCAGCTCCTATTTATTATGTAATCTCAGATACAGCAGGGTATCACATTGTGACTGTGACACGAGAACCAGGTCATTGATCCTCTTCTTAAAAAAAATTATGAAATAAATGAGAAATAAATGCTGAAAAGCAACAGAAACACAAAATACAAAAAAAATGGAACCACGTTTCCTTGACATGCATTTCTACCAGTCCTTTAACAGCAGAATTGAAACAATGCCTGATCTTCTGTGCCTTCGGCATGTATTAGGCCAGTCCAGTCCAATTGGTGGTGATCCATTGCCGATGCTCATGCTATTATGAACAATTTATGGAAACAAGCCATGTCTGTTTGTCAGGGCTGTGTTGCATTACTGCTTCACACACTCAAGTGGAAAATTATCTGTGTGTCATATTATCAGGCCGTTTCGGATTGAACAATGTACAAGACTATTGTTCTTTTGCAATGAGGTCATGATTTATAATTAGGGCTGAAATATCCATCAGCCTGTGCAACTTCCTCTTGTTAATTTGGAACCAGTCTCTGATCAGATCTAGCAGTGAAATTAATTATCTGTCAAAATAGCAGGGACCGAATCTGTGACACTCGATGTGGGGTGTACAATTCTGCTCCCTGTAACCTGTCAGGCTGACAAAGCTCACTTGATGCTCCAGGAGACATTTATCCTCAGAAAACATGTCCTACAGGGGCCTCAGATCTCAGTTGTCTGTTTGGTGTTGAGGCTGAAGTGTGATTTAATTGGGTCAAAAGAGGACCAATTACAGCTCAAATGAAGATGTACAGTTGTCAAAGTATATCTTTCAGGACTTCATTTAAATCTGAAATAGTATTTGAACACCCCACGTACTAAACGGGATGTTAATGCTTTGTCCTTGGACTGATATCTGATTTTTTTTTATTTCTACCACTTTCCACTAATAAATCAAACTGTGTTAAACTATACTTTAGGCTAATACTGCTATTAACATTGTTAGATAAATCTCCTTAGTACCTCTGAGCTGTGGGTATCTTCATGTACATGTTGTTTAAGGCAGTTAGTGCCCGAAGAGTTAACTTGCATCAAAGGATGAGTTCTACCCATCAGAATATAAAGGATTGTTCCTACAGGAGCTAAACAGTTTGTTTGTCACTTGTGTTCAGTTGTTCTTGTGCTCAAAACACAAATATATACTTGAACCTATCCTGATATTTCACAAGAGACTATCATGTATCTCTGATATAATGTAACTAGCTGTTAAGTACTGTGTAATAAACCTATTCTGTTAATCAAGATGGAGTCTACCTTTTGCTGAGAACTTTGTGTGGGCATCTTTCCCCACTTCTTGACTATAACGTAGGCTACTATCGACAAGAAGGATTTGGTAGTAATGAACCTATCCAAGGCATCTCTAATGGTTCAGGTGGACACAACGACAGCATATACCATGCTTACAGTTGTATTGATTTGATTATATATACCAATAAATCCAGACTCCTTACCCTAGAGTAAGGCTCTTCCACTCTGTCAGTACTATGGCAATCTGTTATTTACAATTATGCACTACAAGTTACTGAATACAGCTCTCCCAAGTAATGCCTAAGATTTCTTTCTAGTCTGCTGTCTGCTTCTAATCTACTCTGCTGATGTCAGAGCAACATCAGTAAGTACCATTATCATTTGCATATTCCATTATGCCACAGGAATTTTCATTAAAAGTAGATACATTTCAGCTTGTTCCTGCTTCATCGGGTGGATTGGATGCAAATCCTTGTTTTGTGAGTCAATGTGGAATGAATACTGACACTTTCATTGCTACTCAAAAAGTCATTCCAACTAAGATTGCTATCAAGTAGATGGTATTAACAGTATGAAGTCAAAAATTAGATGCACCAAATAACTATATAGGATAAGTTTAGTAGATAGTTATATAGTTTACTACACTTGATGCCTGGGCACCATTAATTTAGTCAGATACACATGATAGCTGTATATTGTTGGGGTTAGCCAGAAGTGCCACCTTTGTAGAGTTATTCAAGTATGTATTGTACCTGCCCTATGTACTGCGACTTAGATGCACCAAGCGCCTGTAAAGAGATGTACAGGTACAAACAGGAGCATTGTACCATTCACAGCAGATTGTTGATCAGCGCTGGGGAGGTGATGTAGTGGTAAAGTCACTGGAGTGATAATACAGAGTCCCAGGCTAATATTCTGAGGACATGAGTTAGAATCCCACCATCATAGATGGTAAATTTTGAATTCAATTAAATGGAATGAAAAAAAACGTGTCTAATGTGCTGTCAATTATTATTACAAAAAAGTGAGCCCATTTAGTTCACTCGTATCTGTCCTTACCTGGTCTGGTGTACATGTGACTCCAGACCCACAGAAATGTGGTTGAATTTTAACTGACCTCTGGGCAATTAGGAATGGGCAATTAATTCTGGGCCTAGTCAGCGATGCACACATTGTCCCAATGTTCCTTTTGACATTCCATGCATGGCGATCAGTGTGCCAATATGGATCAGAGTATAGCTTCTGAAAATCACTGCTGTGCATGGACCTCGGGGGTCTGTGTGCAAGAAAGAAAACATTCAAGGAAAACCTACCCACACCCCATGAACAAATAAAAATAATCTTAATTACTTAGCTTAAAGGCATAAAGCTTAGAGTTAAAATAAGTGGTTTAACAGTTTTTTCTGTGTTTTGAAGGCTGTGCTATAAGGGTGAGAGTTGAAATTGTTGGGCACTCAGTTACTGGCTCTGAATTACCACCAGAAACTTTGAGGCTAGGTGAACACAGGTTGATGCTGTGTTCTCATTGTGAACTTCAGTCATGACTAAATGATGATCTTACCAACACAGAGTTCAGTTCTCACATTAATAAGTAGAAAAGAACCAATTTGAGTAAAGCAATGTCACAACGACCAGGTAATCATTTTTGTGATGTTGATTGAGGGGCAAGTATTGGCTGGTACACTGTTAAAAAAAAGTGCTGATCTTCTTCAAAATAATATTTACATGTAAGAACATAGGAGTAAGCCACTCAGACCATCAAACCTCTTACAACATTCAGTTAGATCATGCCTGATCATCTACTTTAACGCCACTTTCTCGGTTGATCTTCATATTCCTTGATGCCATTGGTCTGCAGAAATCTATTAATCTCTGTCTTGAGCATGCTCAATGATTGA